TTAATACWMMSTGTGGGTTGTAACAGGTATTTATCRCCTTAGTAAGCAGGTTGGGGCTACCTGGGTGTGGGTATCTCCCAAGACATGTGTACAAGCACTGACTTGTTAAACCTGCCAGCCTGCTGTTTTAGTAGCAATATCATAGGAACGCCGTTTCTTTGAAAAGGGTGCACAAAGGGCACAGAAGTTACTTGATTTCTAGAATGTAAGTTAGGAGGGGTGGCTGAGGGAAATGGTAAAATTTGCTGCTCTTTCATGTTCTTTCTCCAAAGAAAACATCTTAAATAAAATACTGGATCTTCCTGGTGGGAGTATGGCTCCACAGACAGTTATCTGCGTCATTTTGTTTTTCCCTGACATTAATATTTTGCAATTCACATAGTTTCCTACCACAATGTTTTGTAGAGGGGATGAGGAGATAAAGGGACCATGGTGTGGCAGATGAATTTTCATCTGACCAGACAGTTCGACATACCTTCAGGGCAGATCCACCTGAGCGTTGTTATTGTATTATATAATGACTTAAACCCCAGATCACTTACAGGATCAGTTCTGAACTGTGAAATTAYCTGGTGTAGGCAGTCTCATATATGAATAGGTTGTCCACAGARCCATGAAGTCTCCATCCTCAGAAGTTTTTGAAATAACCAGGCAGAACCAGGAGTAACCTGGTCTGAAATCAGTATTGACTGTGATTTGATCAGGAGATTGGGTTAGAGACCAACTAGTCCCTTTCAACCTGAATTGTGAGTCTGTRTATTATTTTCTTGCAGTTGTCATGTTTATTTGAAACTTGGAGCTGCCAATGGTACAAAGCATCAGATGTTCTTGAATATTTGGCAGCTTCAGCTAAGTGATTTTTGTGAATTTCTTGTAAACTTGTAACAACAGGAATCTTGTACTGCCTAACAAATATGGAGGAGTCCTCAAAAGAGAGTCCTGGCGTAAGTCCASCACTGAAGCAGCAGTGATCAAAACTCAGCTGGTTGTCTTTTGCCCACTACAATGTAAGGGTGTCRGCTTTTGTGATTCCAGATGGTAAATTATTGACATAAATTGAATGGTCCACAATATGAACAGAAAGTAAAAATTCAAAACATATCTTGACATATCTCATTTTTAAATACATCCTAGGTGGGAAGAGTTGACCTATTATTTTTTGAGGGTGWTGTTGACAATACTGCCATCCTTCCCTGACCTGCTTTCAGAAATGAGAGGAAATTTGGCATATGAGACCAGCGTGCACCCATTCCTGGGGTAGTAGTGCGGAGTGCACAGTCTGCTGTGTCAGATCATCTGTGCTTGCATTTCCTGCAGCTTTCAGTCATTCTGAAACCACCCCAAATCTTTTCTATTAAGTGGCGTAATACAGATGGACTGTAGTATAGATGYACCAAGTCTCAAACCTAAATCACAAACCTATTTACCTGTGACTGTGCTTCAAATTATGTTTTCAAATTATTCTATTTGATGTTTTCTTTTTTTTTAAATGAAGTATCCTCATCCCATCTCTCAGTGGAAGAGGAGAATGTGATCAGAACAGAATTTGTATGTGGAGAATTATGTCTTGTGTATGTACCCTGGTTTTCAGTGAAGAAACAAATGCTGGCATTTCACTTCCCATTATGAATCAAAACATCAACTGTTACTGTTTYGTATTATTTTCTTGAGAGCATACATTACTTGGCTTCTTCAAATTAGTTGTTTGGGTTTGGGTTTTTTTTYCTTGCCTGGCATTATGGAAAACACCCTTCTTCCAAACAAGAATAAGTACAATAATGCAAAATCAACTTGAGAGAAAAGGCAGTGATGCATACAAAGATATTGCACATAGAATCTCTATCCCAAATTCTGATTACATCCTCACAGTCATGAATAAACAAACTCTTGCAATTACTCTCAGCTAATGTTACCCTGACAACAGAGTGTATATATAACAAAATTCAGTAATCACTGCCAACAAAAYCCAAAGTACAGCTAATGCTTCTGTGTGCCAAGATGAAATACTTTCATTAATGATTAAATCAACTCCAGATCATAAGTTCTGTCTTCAATATTAGGATCAAAAGTAATTATTCATTCCAGTATATGGAGATAAGTTTGGTTTGAGTTCCCTGTTTATCAAATAGTGATATGTAAAAGGAGAAGCTGGAGCTCTTTTTACCAGTTAGGTAGTGATAAATCACTTGGCACTGTTCTGGCAAGCACAGTGGATACAGTCTGTCTCTGATGCTTTTTGGTGCAAGTTTCTGCTCACTCATTTTGCCAGTTCTGTGCATGCTACTGATCTGCATATTTGTAGATTGAGGAAAAGCAGCTTCCTGGGATTACTTCAGGAAAGCAAACTGGAAATATTTTTTGATGTAATTTACTAAGAGATAGAAATTGCTGAGTCCAGTACTTAAATGCATCAGGTCACATCCTGCTGTAAACAGGGTTCTATTTCAAAATGCCAATAAAGTATATATCAGTTTAAATAAATTACTGGTCTGTTGTCTTCTCTGAGCTCTGATTGGCTCTGTAACTGCTGTTGTAGTCTTTGTGATCAAGAGATTCTKTTGACACTCAGTTTTATTTTCAAGTCTATGTACTTTTAAGGAATCGTARATGTCTTGACAAAGACTCAAGAGTTTTTCAGTTCTGGGCAAGTCCTGGGAAAGGGCCAAATTTAAATTTTTTCTGTACATTCAAAAGTTCATATTCAGCGCTTTCTAAGACAGAGACCACTGAAGCTGCAGTGTTTCTGAAAATGAAAACCTGCTAAATACAAAAGCAAATATTAGTTAAGTGCACAAATGGCTTATAAAAAATAGTAACTTCCTTCTAGGAGGGAACATTTCTTGTAATTTACATATGTTAAACTAGTTGATTTCAAGAACTAGTACTTCAGTTGACCAGTTGAGATGGAAAAAGCAGGAATAACCCAGGACTCATGTAGATTTTGGCAGAAATGGTGGTCAGGAAAATGAGGGCTGCTGATCCTTCCTTCTTCAAGAATACAGTTTCTAGAAAGATRGCAGTGAAGCCTTTCCCTGCAGACACTACTTTTTCTGTTTACTGAAATTTAGGTATGTGCTCTGCTTGCTACATAATATTTATTAATATTGAAATACAAAATTAATCAAATTAACTGGCTTTTGTACAACTTTTTGCATTTCTAAACTGAATTCCAGTTTCAGTGTGAAGTTTGATACACTTCCAAGCARGGAAATTTGCAGATGAAATAATAAAATATTTTGTCAACAGAAAAGTAAGATGTAAGGGGTTTTTTGAGTGTACAAGACAGCTTGAACTTTCATAGGTTTGTGTCTTCTGGCTTTGAAAGCTGCTTATGATCAATTTACAGCAGCAGGGCTTTTTATACTTAAACCAATTATTTTATTGCCCAGAGAAGTTGTGGATGCTCCATCCCTGGAAGTGTTCAAGGCCAGGCTGGATGGGACTCTGAACAACCTGTTCTGGTGGAAGATGTTCCTGCCCATGGCAGGGGCTTGGAACTAGATAGTCTTGGAGGTCCCTTCCAAACCAAACCTTCTATGATTCTCTGATTTTGATATTGTTTGCTTAGTATAATTATTGCTAAAAAGTGCTATTTATTTAAAACAAAAGTTATTATTGGGTTAGTGTCCTCCTAAAATAAATACTAGATTTCATTTCCCCTCAAATTTCAATAACAGAAGCTAATGTACTGCCAAATTAGTTCAATGACCAGCATTCTGTAGTAGCAAACCCATACTTTATAAGGGAACTTTCATGTTTATTTCTTGTCTGCAGTTGTATTTCCTCAATCTGTGTTCATTTGGTGGGAAGGAAGTGAGAGACCCTTACAAAACAATTGACAATACCATTGCTGATGGTTGTGATACTTGTACAGGTGTTTGATTGGACTGGGATAGGTCTCTAACTGGTTTGAGGTGGTGGTGCTGGGGAAGTTTGGTGGAAACAATTTTGGGTTTGAGGTGACAGTATCAGTGGCCTTGTGGTAAGTGGATGTGTGGTAGGCATTTCTGCCCAGCTGAAATAGGGAGTCTAGCAGAAAATCTAGTAGAGTCTCATTCTTTAAATTTCCTACTTTGGATAGACAAGAAACTCTGAGTGAAAGGGGTATTCTGGAGGAAGCTTTTTCAGTAACACCCTCCTAAGTACAAGGAAGCAACATGGCTGTTCTTCAGTACAGCTGTTTCTGGTCTTCAGGGTAGTGACTTATAACAAATATTCTGTGTAAATAGTGATCCACATGCTGTGTTATGCTAGAAATAAATAAAGGATTATGAATGGGATCCAGAGAGGAGAAAACTGATAGATCTGCAGRTATAGTGGAATTTATCCACAAATATTTTGAGAAATACTAGAACAAAATTAAGTGTAAGTTAGTTAATTGCTGGACATCTTTTTAGACTGCAATCCTTCAGTATTTGGTCTAATTGAGATCTGGTGAATGTTGCTTAACAGAAAAGATAGTTCAAAGTAAAAACTTKAAATTAGCCACAGATCTTGTGGGAATTGTTTCACTGCTGTTGAGTAGAGATACCTATCTCTTGAGATTGGGTTGTTGAACCTTAGCTGGTACTAGCTGAAATAATAAAAAGTAAAGCTGCACYCCACTTAAGAAGAGAATTAATCTAGTGCCTGCAGTGTAGGACAGATTGTCTGTAGGGTTTACCAATAATGAATGAGCTCTCCCTTTCACATRGTCCTTCACTGATTGACAAAACCCTAAAGAAAGGGAAGGAAGTCTTCTGAAAGACCACTTTGCTCTATAGTCTTACAAGCAGCAAGGCAGAACCATTCATGTGATTGAACTTAAAAAAAAATTAATTGTTAATTAAATAGCGTAATTAGCATTTTTTCCTTCTGTAGTTTTAATAGTTTTTACTTTTAATAGAAACTTTGCTATTGCTCTGTGTCGGTCTGTAATGAGTACTTTTGACCTGTAGTTTATGGGTTGGCTTGTGATGTTTCTCTTTATAATTGAATTTTCTTTTTTTTTCCTTAAACAGCAAARCCATTTACAAAATTGGTAAAGGAAATGCAACTCCATCGAGATGACTTTGAAATTATAAAAGTGATCGGAAGGGGTGCATTTGGAGAGGTAAGAGCTTTTTACTCTCRATTGTAGTAATAAAACTTTCTTCGTTTGTGCATCTGATTTCTTGTTGCAGTTGACCTGAGGACAAAAGGTTCACACAGATGTGTTAAAATACTTCCAAATGTGGGATGTAGCTAGGTACTAGTGCAGGGTCACTTTGAAACAGGTTATTCAATGTCCCRGTGTGCCATTTCTGTGACTGGGTCATTTGGCTTCAGTGTAGCCAAACAAGTGTCTCTTGGGTGTGTATATGAGTGGGGTGGTCCCACTGAGCAGCTGCACAGCTGAATTTGGGATTTCTTCTCCCACTTGCCATCTGTACTGCTCGGTGCTGCTCTAATTTAACACAGAGCTGGGCTGCTTCTATGGTAGGAGCRTGGAGGTTGCTCCACCCATCTGCCTGTCTCTGCAGCAATCTGGTAATGCAGAAAGACGCATTTGGCTGCCTCAAAGGCTGTTCCCTGTCATCTTTGAAGATCAAAGGCTGCTGGATCTGTTTTTTGGACAGCAAGTTGAGTCATGCTGGGATGATAGGAACGCCTTGTTTTTGAGGACTCGCCAGTCCTAGGACCCCRGACTGAAGCTTTACTTCTTAGTATGTTTGATGAAAGTCTCATCAATCACAGAAGCTTAGTAGGGCTTGCCACTGGCAAAAGCGTTCACGTGCAGCAAGCATAGGATACTTGAGACTTCTGGAGAACCTCAAAGACAACCTTTTCAGCATTTAAGAACAGGTAACTAAAATCATAGCTGTCAGCAAAAAAGGTTATTAACTAGAGAATTTCTAGAAGTAAAAACCCTTTATATTTCTTTCAGGAAACTTCTTTGAAGTAGTGCCATGCTCAAGTGAAATGCAGAGACTGCCATCTGTGGCTCACTCCAGCGCATTAGCATTTGGTTACAGCTTTTGCTGCTGGTGGCTAAGGACATGCTTCCTGATCCTTATGTCCTGTTGTCTCCACAGAGAGCAGGACTCTCTGCCATGTGGGCATTCCTTCAAATGTGGTGTGCCGTGGACGCCTCAAACTCTCAAGTAGGATTTGATTGTGAAACGGGTAGCACAGACCAAGCAGAAACTCAGCTAGAGAAACACCAGGCCCTACTTGACCTGGGTTCAGAAAGCAGCAAGGTTTCTACAAGCATATGCGCTTGCAGTGGGTACAGTCATGGTTTCATATTCACAGAATTTTAAGTTACTTCACAAACTGCTTTTGAGAAAAGTGGACACCTAAGACAGAAATTAATGTTTCAAGAATGTCCCTTCATCTGTACTGTCATCCAAAAATGTGATGAAGTAACATGTAGTTTCACCTGTAATCATCACAAACACAGCTGCTGAAGGAAGTGGAACATTTTAATAAAATGTCCAGATCAGCAATAAGACAAATTTTTTTCCCATAAGACAAAAGTTCACTTTCTAGTGGATGTTAAACTTGATGAGTGCAACATTTGTTACAAAAAAGGAAGTGTTATTTTAGTGGAAATAATGCRTGAGAGCCAGTTATTTCACTTGAGGGATTCACTTGAGTATTACTTGAGCATGACCTTTAGGGAAGAAAAATTACTGTAAAAAAATTGACAGGAAAAAGCAAAAATTGGGAAAAAATTTATAAGTCTAAKGAAGGACTGAGAGCTGCAAACTTAGTCCAGAAAAGAAGTCTAAGAAGGGAGGTTTATAAGTAGATCAAAGGCCTAAAGAATCAAGACAGTAGTCGGTACCTGTCTGCCTCTGTTAGGGTTTTGGTTCAAAGCAGTGGCACAATTTTGAAGACAGTGCCTTTACCTACTGCATAAGGATTTTACTCTGCATGAGCTGGGTTTCTCTTGGAGGAGGTTAACCAGAACCTCCATTCCAGGTGTGCACCAAATGGCCTTTTGGATCGAAGGAGTGCCTAAGAATCAACTACTGGGTTTGACTCTCCTAGCAGCTTCAAAGCATGTTTAGTCCAGGAAATCAGCCTAGATACAGTCTGAAACAAAATTCCTGAGCTGCATACAATATAGATGGGAAGGCTCAGYGCAGGGTACTTTGATGTTCTGGTCTTGCTGTGCCAAATGACTTGCTTAGTGGCTGTGACCACTGATATCTAAAGAATTTYAGATTAGCGTTTTGGCAGTTTGTCTTTTGGCAGGATTAGAAGTGGTTTCTGGATCTTTTCAGAACTAGACTGGTGAATGCTATAGCTATCAAAAATGGGAGCCCTTTATAGTGACTTGCAGATGGATTCAGTGTTGGGAACGCCTTCCCACAGTATAACTTCAAGGAAGGGGCTGTTTTCCATAGTACTTGTTCTGGTCTTTTTCAAAAGATGCTCTTTTCTACTTAAGGAATTGGCCAAATGAAATCTCAGTACAACAGCAGATGAAGTATTTGTATGCATTTCAAGAGACTTCAGTTTATATTTGCTGGGGAAGTTTAGGATGACATTTCTTAGCTTTGGATTAAATGTCTTAAGGTGCATAAAAGATACAAATTCTAGGTGGAAACTTTTGTTTATAATAGTGTTTGGAGTGCCAGAATCAACAATGTGTTTCATACTCTTTCCTTTGGAAAAGCATGGAATTTTTACAAAAACAATTCACACATCCCATCCCCCCCAGTGGAAATGAAATTTCATGGAAGTGAAATGAAAAAGTATTTAAATTTCATCCTTCTGTTAGAGCTGTGAGTGCTAAGAGAGTCAGAGATGTTAGTTAATACAATATCACATATTGTTCATCTCTTATCTAGAAAAGTTTTAGCTTATAGTTGCAGCAGCATGAAACTTTTGATCAGTTCAAATTATACAGGAATCATTGGTTTTATGTTCTCTATACTTTAATCCCTCTTGCCAGAGAGTATTTTATGCATTTTGCTTATGAAAGAATCCTTTGACCTTTGTGTATGCTACACTGCTATAAATGCCAAATTTTATAGGTATTATAAAATAGTAATTATGTAAAGGTTGACATTCCAAATTAAGGAAATGACATATAGTTTCTTGAAAGGAACTAGTGTCATCTGACTTGTACAAAACAACACTTGAGAAAAAACTGAACGGAGGAGCTGTGAGTAAGTTTTCCATAGCACTTTCATACATACATGGGAACTGTGTTGGAAATTACTTGATCACATTTATCTGCTAAAAATACATTTTAAAAATACCTGTAAAATATTTGGTTAAATATATAAAGAAATTCATCCRAATTAAACTGAAAATATTTCTGTTAGAATTAAGTAGTTTAAGTTAAATACGGAACAGCTAAACACGGTAGACTTCAAAAAGGATGAAAATTACATTCCATTCTTCTCAGTTTAGCTCCTTTGGACTTTTTGGAGAATGCCAGGGGCTTTTTTCTTACCAAAGAACCTTTGCATAAATCAGTAGCTTTGAAGAAATACACTTTAAACAACATAAAAGCATGATATTAGTTATTAGCCAGGATCAGTGGTCMGTTTTTCCCTGAAAATCTGTAATCCAAGGAAACATGGTATTTGACCAAAGAGAGAATTGAGACCACGTGTGAGCTTATCCCTGTGAACACAATTGCAAAATCAGTATCTACAGCAGATTGATGTAATCACCAGTACACATCTGTACTGGCACGTCAGTATGTTTTTCTTTCTCCTTTGCAGATCAGCAGAACTCGACCTGGTTCTTTACACTTTTCCCAGCAATATAAGAACAAAACCCAATGCAAAAAAGCCCGAAAGAAAGTTCTTGTAGGATGGGATGTCTGAGGAAGCAAAAGGAAAAAATGCTTCTTAAAATTCTCATTATTATACTAGGAGAGAAATAGCCTAGCTTAGAGCCTAGAGATTTCTTCTCTAGCCACCTGCACTTCTCCTTTCACACAAAGGAAGCCAGCCACTTTRCAAGCAGGATGAACTGAATGTCTGAATATCCCTTACAGCAGCATTTAAGATTCTGACTCCGGAAGTCACTGGCTTGAAAACATATTTTATTGTTTTCAGAAGTTTCATAGTTACAAAGAGAAGTTTGAAATGTTATTTSAGCATGACAGTTAGAATAGCTTATAATTTGGAATGCTAGCTGGAAGGAGGATAAACTACTCATGGTTGTTTCTCATCTCCTAGGCTGTATCCACCTGGGTATGTACCCAGCTGGGTGGAACATTTTCATGAGTGTGCCAGTGTTTCTTTCAGTCTTTCCTTTTTCTGGGTCATATAGGCAGGTAGCTCCTGTACAGAGGGACCACCTCCATGAGGAATAAAACTAGTAAGTGAAAAGCCCCCTAAAATAAAATCAGAAGTRAAATGGTTTTCTGTTACCTTAATTTTGCTTTCTATGAATAAAATGACTGTAGAAGTCTGTGTTTGTAGGCAAGAAAGAGTATGTTGTGTAGTGTGAAGTTTCCTGTGAACTACACAAAAACCAAGCAAACTACACAAGAGTGAAAATCACTTCTGTGAACTACACAAAAGTGAAAATACAGTCTTTAGGAGAAGGTTTAAGGAATATCAGCATAGAATGCAAAACTCTTCCAGATTTTCAACCTTTGGAAAACCACACCAAAACAACAAAGAAACCAAAAAAGCAATCCACCTATGGTTTGAAGTTTGCCTATGCCTGACTATTCCTTTCATCTAGCAACACTATGGACCGTTACTTGAAATGAAACAGTGTCCTGAGAACTTGTGCTTGGTGGATTGTGCTTACCTGGGAAACATAGGCCAGCCTGAGAAGTGTGTTCTGCGTGCTTGATGTTTGGCTGCATATGCTAAAGAACTGGGAGTAACCATGGTGTAAGCACTGTGAGAAGGATAGGAGGAGGACACTGTCTATGCGGATTGTAGCTCTAAAAACTTTTATGTGTTCCTTTGCAAGGTTCATTTGCCCTCAGTAATGTGCTTGTACATCTTTAAGGTCACATGTCCTCATTTTGTGTAAAAGACCATTTAGGTACACTGCTGTAGATCAACACATTCCAGTCAAAGAGCAGTTGTTGATGGAAGAATGCGTCAAAATGTACCTTGTTTGAGAACTTGGATTGTATAACGT